TCCGTGGACCGTTCTCGCTCTGATTCGGCACTTGCAGAACGAGGACTGAACGAAGGAAACAACGAAAACGAACCGATAACGAACAGCATTGTTTAGCTCTAACCCTGTTTTCCGCTCGTGATGACGACGACGACGACGACGACGACGATGAAGATGACAATTTAACGACGACGATGATGATCACGATGGCGATGACGATGACGATGACAATGATGACGGTGACAATTTCTCCGAATACGAACAGCACTGTTTAATTAGCTCAAGCCCTGCTGCTCTGCTCTGCCCTCCCTCTTTCCCGTTTCCATCTTCCCTCGTTGTTCGCTCCATTCTGGTCTCTTTGCCTCCCTCCATGCTCCATTCCACCCCTCCCCCTCCTCCCCCTCCTTCCCCTCCTTCCATCCCTGCTCCCTTCATCCCTCCTTTCTATTCCCCTCTCGATCCTCCTGCCTCTGTTCCCTTCTGAATCCTCCCTCATGGTTCCGCCATCCTTCGTGTTTCCACCATTGGATTCCACCATCGTTCGTCCTCCCTCCTCTTTTTCCTTCCACCTCCGTCTTCCCTCCCTCTGTCCTTGCCGCTCTTCCTTCATCGCTTCTCCCCCAGAGCTCCCCTGCCTTTCAGTTATTGCCCTTTCCTCTGTCACCTGTTCGGGAGTTCGACCCAGCTAGTTATTCTAAGCCGATTGAAGTGACAAGTGTTTACGCCCCAGCGCAATACTACGCGCTGGGGCAATCCAGGTAGTTATCCTGGCCCCGTCCTGGCCAACGCCGGCATCTTAGTTCCTCGTGGTTTCGCTCACGGGCGATGTGGAGGAGTCGGCTGCGCGCAAGTGGATGGGGAGCCTTGAGAAAAAAGGACAGCACGGCCGCCTCCCAGCATGGAGGACGAAATGGGGGGAGATTGATGAGGTGTGAAGGAAAAGAATACGGAGCCTGGGGGGAAATGCGGGATGGGGGAGAAAAGGGCAACAAGGAGGGTGGAAGAGGGAAGGTGGAGGTGAACAAACTGGAAAGGGGGACGTAGAGGGAAGAGTAAAGTTCCCAGCGTGAGCGCCGCAATCTGTTTAACGCAACCTTCCACCCGCCCTCCCACCACAGAGGTAGCACCCAGGACTCAGCATGGGCATCGGCCGCCATCCGATCGACACGGACCAATCAAGACGCCAGGTGCGCCACGCTCGCGATGTGCGCCAGGTGAGCCAGACGCCCAAGCCGCCAAAGCGCCGTCCAGCGGCCTGCCTGGTGCTCCGCATGCGTGGCTGCTGCACGCGCGCCGGGTGCCCCACGCGCGCAGAGTGCGCCGGTGCAGGTGGCAGCGCACATGCGGCAGTGTGCCGACTCCCTGGGAGGGCCAGCGGAGTGCTTGGCATCGCTCGGACGTGTGCATTTTTCCTTTCGGCGAGGACCATCGAGGAGCATCCTTGATCATTTGGCGAAAAAACCACGCACAAACCGAAAAAAACTCAGGGAATCGACGTCCGAGCGATGGCCAGAGTGGCATTTCACGTTTTACCAATCCGACCTTGGGCCTCGTCTCAGCCACGCGCAGAGGGGGGTGGCGCGAGGGGGGAGGGCTTCTTAGAAGCACCCCTCCTTCTTAGGAGGCGTGGGCCTCATCTGTAGATGTAAGGCCGGCGCCTTCTAAGAAGCAGCATGATTTCTAAGAAGCCCTCCCCCCTCCCCCCACCTCTTTGTGCGCGCCGCCAATCTTCGGGTTCTTTCCGGCCAGCAGCGGTCGCGGGCTTACAGCGCGTTTTGTGGGTCCAGAAGGGTAACGTCCCGCGTCGGTCCGACGCTCACTGTGTCGTGCAGAGTGGCAGTCTGACGTTCAAATGTCGCTATTTTGGCGCGACCCTCGCGTGCCTTAGGGTTTAGTTTCGCCACCGTTGCTTGCAGGCCTATACAAGCCGCAGGGCCAGAACGTCTGTCCTGGGGATCCGAAAGGGGGGGTTCGGGAAGCAACCCTTGCCAGTACCCCGATCCTGGACGGGACACCCCCAAGGGGGTGAGGGAGAGATCTGGGTCGTACCAGTAATTACCGACCAGATGCATTACCCCTCAACACCCACGTAGAAGAGCACGAAGCCGACGCGGCGGTGCCAGGAAGCTGGCCTCACCAGCGGTGGCGCAGAGCGCCTGCTTGGTGCCTTTCGGCATATGCCGACCCCCCTGGCGCCACCCGAACAAAAGTCGGTCGGGCCCAAAGCCAACTGCCGGCGTCGCGGGGTCCACAGCACACGCGCAACACACATGAGCGAGGGAAAAACAGCAGGATCGTCTGCGCCGACAGGGCGCGTAAGCTGCCCGCGTAAGGTCCAGCGTTAGCGCCTTCACCCTCCCAAGCAGCGCGCCGTGCTGGCGGCCCGCGTAAGCCACCGCACGAGGTCTCCACGTCATCTCGCGTGAGACCAGCTTGTGATCGTCGATAGGAGGAGGAGGAGGAGGAGGAGGAGGAGGAGGAGGAGGAGGAGGAGGAGGGGGAGGGCAAGGAGAAGGAGGAGGAGGAGGAGGAAACTCCATGTGCAAAGAGACAAAACGAGCTTTTGCGGCGCAGCGCGGCAGGGGCCATCCGCACGCGCGTCGGGGCGGGACCGGGACACGGCGCCGCGAACGGCGTCGCGAAAGCACGGGCCCAGGCAAGGCAAGCTCGGCCCTGGCCTGTGAGGGGCGCGGAGGCGGCGGCCACGCGGGGGCGTCTGGTGGCCAGGCAGGGGCGGCGGGGCGAGCCCGCCCACGGAGGCCGCCCCCGAGCGGTCGAGGGAGCCCGCGGTCGGCAGCGTGCGGTGCACGTCAGAGGGGGAGAAGGTGCCCATACCTCTACCCTCCCCTCGTTTTCCCCTGCCTCCTGGGCTTCTGTCGTCGCCACCGCTAGAATCGCCCCGAACTCCTGGTCAGAACGCATCCTGGGAGAGGTCCGGGGAGTAGCGGTATCGGTACCTTTTGGTCTCCCCATAGTCTAGGCCTCTTAGATGGGGTCGGAGCAGATGGGGTCGGAGGATCGCGCCGCATCGCCGATGTATCGCCGATGCGGCTCGATGTGGAGCCCGATTTTCTCCTCGCCGACGGCGCCGATGCATCGCCGACGTCGTCGATGCATCGTCGATGCATTGGCGATGCGGCGCGATCCTCCGACCCATCTACTCGGATCCCATCTAGGAAGCGTCTAGTACAGTCGGCCTTGATTAGTAGGTCGACCCTGCCAAGTCAAGGGTACCCTTGTGTCCTGTCTTGAGAGGCCCGTGCCTTGTACATTCTGATAGATTTATAGCCCTCGGAAGGATCTTGAGTCCTCCCGCGTGTCTTCTCCAATCGAGCCCGACTGTAGGAACACCAGCACGGACAGCGCGGCCAACAACATAAGCTTGCCGACGCCACACGAGCTGGAGCTCGCTCGACTTCCTACGTGCTTTCCCAACCGCACTTCTCACGCGCACACATCAGCAAGGGCACAGAAATCAACCTTCCGGTATCGTTGGGCCTACTTTTAGGGAGCACTCACCCCGTTCGACCGTGGCCGAAACCACTGTCCAACGACGCACACCCCGCCCGACCATGCCTGAAACCCCCGCCGAACGAAAAGGAGGATACCCGAAACACTGCTCGCCTTGACCACGGGCAACACGCTTCTACTGCCCCGTCCTCCCCCAGGGGAAAGTCCGAAGACCCAAGCGCCCTTGGGCGGATGTTGGACAACGAGAGATTTGTCTTGAACCCAAAAAGAGACAACACGTAGGACGACGATGGATGTGCGCTCCCTCCCCCGACCAAAGAGAGGTCCGCCAGCGCCCAGAAAACGAGGGAAAGACGCCAGAACACTGCAGACCCATCCCACCAGACTTCAGTCGGGCCTGTCCCTCTACAGGGGGAATATCCAAAAATATACTCAAAAATAGTCTGGGAACTATGTTTGAGCAGTTTTTGACCATTCTGGCTTTTTTTGTTCCGTATTTTTCTAATGTTTCGTCGACGCTCCCTTTGTAGGGGGACAGGCCCGACCTAACACCAGACGCTCGGGCGGGGGGCGCCCCCCTGCCCTTCCCATCCGGGGGAGGTGCCCGATCAGCCCGCGCTCCAGACTCCAAGTTGCGCCAGGCTGTCCGCAGCACACGCCACAAGCACCGAGGATCGATGACCCAACAGCAGAGCGGCGGAACCGACGGACTGGCAGATCACGCAGGTCAGAGTGAGGACTGGCGACCCGCCTCGGTCGGTTGCCCCCCCTCTCACCCTTGCCATGTTTAGGTCTTCGTGCCCCGCCTAGACAGGGATTGGCGCGTTGTCCCAGGTGCTGCCGAGGCCGCTCGCGACAAGACGGAGTCTCCGCGAGCAGCCGTCGAGGATGCTTGTGCACGAGCGCCTGTGCACCACACAGCTTATACAACATAGCTTGCACATCATCATCATAGCTCACACGTTCTAGATTGCACCACACAGGTTGAAGCACATAACTCACCGCACACATTGCGTTGCATACATTGCACCCTTTACATCGCACCACATCAGGGCACTTTTGCCTCCCTGCTCATCGGCGCACCTCCGGGAGGAGGCGGGGGCGGGCGAGAAAGAGGAGGGGGGGAACTGTCTCGTTGAGCTCCGACGCTGCGAAGCACATGCAGCGTCGCGAAGGGACATGGCCGAAACCCCCGAGCCTGTCTTTTTTGCTACGGTTTTCGCGCCGGGTCGATCCGTGATGGCCCCGGGCCTGGGCCAGACGGGCACGCCCGGGGTGTAAAAGTTGCAGCGCGCGGATCCTCGGCGTCGCTCGGACGTGCGCATTTTTTCCTCGGCGAGGGCCATCGAGGAACATCTTTGATCACTTGGCGGCAAAAGCCACGCACGAAACCGAAAAAAAACACAGGGAATGGACGTCCGAGCGATGGCGAGGATCTCGTGGGTGCAGGAGGTGGAGGTGTACGTGGGGGAGGAGGATCACCAGCAGGAGGAGGATGCCGAAGGGCATCCACCCCTCGCGCCGCGGCGCCGTGCGGCGCGCCCACCGAGGGCACCCCGGCCATGCCCCAGTGCGGCTTCAGCGCCCGATCCGTGGGCATGCTGCGCGAGACGGGCCGCCACCCCCTCGCCCTTGGGGCCGCCGCAGAGGGAGGGTTAAGTCGGGCATGTCCTCCCACAGGAGGAGTATTCAAAAATAGTACAGATATAGTCTGGGGACGATTTTTCTATTATTTGTGGACTGTTTGGATAGTTTGGGATGTTGTTGCTTATTTGTCTTCCAACATCTGTTTGTAGGGGGACGTGCCCAACCTAAACGGAGGGGGTCGAAGAGGAACATCGGGGGGCCACACACGGCGTGGTGACCACATCGTGTGGTGATCGGGGGCGGCCAAGAGAGGCGGGGATGATTAGGGGGGTAGATGTCATGGCCGGGGGCATGCGATCTTCCCTGATTAGATGGCGCCTCGTCTCATTTCATTACGTCCCAGGCCCCCCCTTTGGACGTCCCCCTTTTGGACGCCCACGAGGTGAGTCAGTGGGGAGTCGAGGTCATTGCACGATTCTGGGACTCGGATCGTTCTCTGGGGATGTCTCGGGCGATTTGCGCCTTCGAGGTCCCAGAACCGTGCGGTGATGGACCGTGCGGTGAGGTCCATCGGGATTTCGAGGTCACCGCACGGTATGTCACCGCACGGTTTTGGGATCCCCGGAAGAGTTGCACATATGTGCGTAATTGTTTTGAGTTCCGCGCGGACTTCTCGGATCGGCGCTGGGCCCCCATGGCGGCGCCACGGAGGGAGGGCATCAGTGTCGACCCAAGAGATCCGTGCGGACATCCAAAAGCCTCTGTCAGGATGCAGCGGCTGCTTCTGCGGATGGGGGAGCCGGAAGGCCCCCGCGGCCTCGCCTCGCCGAGCCGCGGGACCTTTTCGCCAAGCTGTGGGGGCGCCGATTCGCCCGCAGCGGCAGCTCCTCCTCCTCCTCCTCCTCCTCCTCCTCCTTTTTCTCCCACTTCTCCTCCTCCTCCTTTTCCTCCTCCTTTTCCTCCTCCTCCTCCTCCTCCTCCTCCTCCTCCTCTTCCTCCGACGACGACGAAAGACGAACGAGCGAACGAATGAACGACGACGACGACGAGAAAGGGAGGGTCTGGAGGTCCAGGGCGCGGAAAGCGTCTGGATCGGCTCCTGGGGGGGGAGCGTGGGCCCCGGGTCACCCGTGCATCGCGGGCAGGGGCCCGGGCGTGCAGCACTGCGCAGGGCCGTGCTGCTTCGCGGAGTGGGAGCCGGTCGGTGACGCATCGGCGGCGTAGTTTCGATTCCGGGCCGACGTGGCCTTAAGAGCCACGCCCCTCCCCCCCCCATTCGTCTCGACCGGGCGTAAGAGGGACCGTTCGACGGAGCAGCCCCGATGGGCCGACATGGCTTTGAGCCATGCCCCATGAGCCAGCGTATATTCGATTCCAGGCCGACATGGCTTTGAGCCACGCCCCTCCCCCCCCTTCATCTCGACCGGGCGTAAGAGGGACCCTTCGACGGAGCAGCCCCGATGGGGTCCCCGGATGGCTGCATGCGATGCGGTCGCAGCGCCCTGCGCGCGCAGGTTTGTCCCCCACGCGGCCCCCGAAAGTCGCGCACCAAAGCTCATTCTTGCCCAGGATCACCCCTGCGTGCAGCCGAGCATCTCCCTTCTGGAGAGGCCCAGCGGCTTCTGTTCAACGGTGGAACAAGCACGCACGTCGTGGGTGCAGGAACGCGCAGTGTGGAAGAACAAACTCCAGAGTGTGGGGCCAGGCCTCGGCTTTGAAGGTTTGGGAGTCTCCAGTAGGGCTGGGGGGATCTGGTGTCTTCGGAAGGGGGATCAGCACGGATCACCCGCTGGCGCGTTGAAGAAAGGTTTTCGCCTTCGTCGCGTCTCGCCTTCGGCGGAACCGACGGACGGTAAACAGGTCCGCTTGCGGAAGGTCGGCGGTTGCAAAAGCGAGACGTTAACATTTTTGGGTGCAGATTTTCCCTGGGTGAGCCACGGTGGTTCACCCGGGAAAATTGGGATCCAGAATGGAGGGGTGCGGGTGTGAGAGGGTAGTGGTTTTCGAGGACAGTCTTTCACACGCATTTCCAACACACAAGCCAATCTTTTGCGCCCCGTGGGTGGTGGTGATTTTCCTGGCCCTTGCGGAGACATGTAAGAGGATTCTGAGAATTAGGGATACTAGGCTATGTGTGGCTGCTCCATCTGAGCCAGCCCACACTAGCGCACACTATAGCCCTCTTCCCTGGGCTCTAGAAGAACACTATTCCCCAGACCAAAAACAAGGTTGTAGTTTAATCGGTGTCTTCCTATTGGGGCCCACGTGCCCGTAACACATGACGTGTCCATGCACAGCAGTGCAGCAGCATGTGGCAGATCGCCCCCCCACATCGGAGGAACCCCGTGACATGCGACCGTCGTCCCCGTCTGGGCATAGAGAGCCCTTCATGGTGTACAAGCCCGTATCCGTGACAATGTGACATCCCATTTCCCAAGGCTTCGGAGCGCCAAAAGCAGTGTGGCTGTCAGCGTGGGCCTGAAGCAGCAGGCTCCTGCGATCCCATTGGCAGCCACCGTGCAAGTTGCAGTCACAAAACATGCAGCAGGACCTGGGCTCCGCAGGGTGGCCACTGGCAGGACGTGGAACTCCCCACGCGGGCGTGGGGTCAGGTGTCCCCGCAGGAGGACCAGATCTTCATCCTAAGTCGTTTTCTACGAGTCCCAGGGCCCGTGGAGGGTCCCAGGAAGCCAAAGACGGCGAAAAACCTCAGGACCCGTTTCCATCAGGACCTGCTCCCCCGGGCCTTGACGGGCGGCCGTGCGAGAGGATCGCATCAGCGAGAGCCAGCGGGACGCTGGCCCTCGTGGGCGGCCACCGCGAGATCGCAACAGGCAGGGCCAGCGGGGCTGGGGGCCCCGCGGGCGACCACCGGGAGCCGCGCCCACGCAGCCGGGCTGTTCCACAGAGCCAGTGCTTTCCCAGACGAAGCAGTGCCCCTCGAGTGCAGGCAAGTGCTTGGGGAGTGACAGAGCCCCCTGCCCGAGTTCGGGCATGGCCGTGGCCAGGTGTTTTCCCAAGCGCCCATGCGGCCAGAAAGGCGGACAATTCCCCATGCCCGAGGCTGGCCTCGTGGAGGCCTCACGAAGTCCTCTGCGAAGCTCCGAGGCTGCCTGTGTTCCAGTCTCCTGGGGGGGGACCCTCGGAGAGATACTCGGGGGGGAGTGTCCTTCTTCTTGGGGCCATACGGTAGGTCGACCATGCCAAATCGACGGTGCCCGTGTGTCCTGTCCATCCCGACGTGTGCGAGCCGCATGTTCATCTTGGTGTTCCGGGGCCATGCTGCCTTCGGAATAGTCTTGTGTCTTCCTGGGTGTCCCATTCGATCAAGGCCGACTGTACGCCATCTGCCCCCGGTGCACGCTTGGGAAGGATCGGGGGAGGGAAGGAGGCACACGGCGAGGGACACGGAGGAGACCGCCGTTTCCGTCGTGCCGTTCTTCGGGGCTTGGTCGCTCCCTTGCATAGCAGCGAGGCACGCATCAGCAGGATGGAGGAAGGCTGCCGCGCGCCGTCTCCCTGCCCCCCGTCACTGCGCTCCCCTCTCCTCCAACTCCCCCCCTCCTCCTCCGCCCCCTCCTGCGCCTCCTCTTCCTTCGGTTGGGCAGCGAGTCGCTGAGCGACGAGGTATCTGCCTTTTCCCTGACCGTCGGCCGTGACTTGGCGCCTGCGGGCCCGTTCCTCTGGTCCGGGAGGCCGAGGGTGACGGTTGAGCCTCGCTCGCCGTTCACTTCTTGGATCTATGACACTCATGACACTCCTCCTCCTCTTCTTCCTGCTCCTCCTCCTCCTCCTCCGCCTCCTCCTCCCTCTCCTCCTCAAGCCACGGCGGCTCGAGGCCCCTTGCCTCGCGCGTTCCAGCGGCTCTGGTCAGGTTTCCTGCTGTAGAAGGAGCTCGGCTACCTGAACCAGCCCTCCGAGGTCTGGCTCGACGCGCAGTGCCTGCAGCTTGAGGTCGTGAAGATCGAGGCGCACTTGATCCTTCTAGGTGAGGTCGCGCTGCGGTTCTTCTTCGCCCAGCCCTTCGGCGATGGCCACACCACCGACGACCCAAAGCGGCCAAGATCCAAGAGTGCAGCCTTGGCGACGTTAGTATCATGAAGGCCAAACTCCAGGAGCCCCACGGTGATGGCGTACGCACCTTTGACTACGTGAAGGCTGTGATCCAAGAGGCCCTCGAGGGCGATAACACCACCATCGATGACGAAATCGCGATTGTCCAGGAGCCCACCAGCGATGGCATCACCATCGACTACGTAAAGGCAAAGATCCAGGAGTCCACCTTCAGCGAGGGCTCACGCACCATCGACAACTTGAAGACTCAGATCCAGGATGCCCCAGTCAGCCCTTTTGCTGAACGGGTGGATCCGCGCATCGTGGGACGTCCCCGCCGGCGTGTCCAGCGACGTTCACGCTGCTGCCACCAGGCGGCGGCGCCAGCTTGCCAAGCGCACTCTCGCATACAAGTTCGTTGTCCTTTGTCCACATTGCGATCGTTTTCTCGTCGCCGTTTCTGGTGAGGCCTAAGGTGTGCCCTGGTGGGGTGTAAGACACTGCTTCGCACCGACATCTTGCCTCACCTTCCACACCTGCCCGGAGGTAGACACCATCGACAACGTAAAGGCCAGTGACCAGGAGCCTGGCGATGGCACCACCATCGACAAAGTCACGGCTAAGTGCAGAAGACTTCTACATCGGTGATAGTCCTGGCACCATCGAAAATGTTCAGACAAAGACCCAGGAACCACACGTTGTCGGCCACCCCTCGACGTCGACGGCCAAGAATTCGAGCAAGAACAAGCCGAAGCACAAGGGCGACGGCAACTTGAAGGCAAAGGTGGGCGATGGCGTCCTCGCCGTGTGGTTGTGCTTCGATGCTTCGGCACTGAAGCGCTAGAGGTTGTCTTGGCAAAATATTACTTCCTGCTGGGAGCACCGCATGAATCCGAGAGCATTTTTACACGAACGACACGTACCTGCAGGTTCTCACAAAGCATGCCTGCCAAGCCATTTCGAGATGGCAGCGGCAATGACCGCACGGACAGCAGCCGGCCCTGGGCTGGACTCCACCTCTCTTCTTGCTGACCCGACGGATGTCCTGAGCGGCGCGGTTTCCCCCAGGGACCGTCTTGGCTCCGCCGGCGGGGAGCGCACGCCGCCTTTCACGAGGTGCCCTAGGAAGGCCGGCGTCCGCGGGATGTACCTTTTTTGGGCGGCTTTGGCAAGACTTGAGAAAAAACGTGACCTTCCTCATTTTCGCGTTCTTCATCTGGGGCGCCATCAGGCGCTCCTCTCGGACATGGTGCGTTCGGCGTCCGTTGGTTGGAGCATTCTGCCCGGCTGAACGGGGCACGGGGCATGGTTTCTACGTCCTCTTCTCCTCGCTCCTCGACGCCGTTTGTGTACAGTCGGCGTTGCTCTCGGACAGCGGCCGTTCGGCGCCAGTCGAACGGGGCAGGACTTCGTGGCGTGGTTTGCTACATTTTCGCCCTTGTCTTCGCGATCCTCGTTGCTTTTTGCGCGCAGCTGGCGCTGCTCAAAGAAATTTCGGCGACCTTTCAGTCGCTTGCACTTGCGCGCTCAGCCTCCGGCCACCTGTGCCGGTAGAATCGGACAGGGCGGAGTTCCATCGAGCTCGTCTTCCCTTTTTGTTTTTTGTTTCGGGTGTATGACCGTGCTTCGCACCGACATTTTGCCCCATCTACACAACTGCCACGGCGAAAACACCATCGACAACGTAAGGGGTAAGATCCAGGAGCCCCCTTGCGGCGATGACTCCCGCGCCATCGCCACAGCTGAGACTCAGATCCAGAAGTCCACCGTCGACGCAGGCTCACGCACCATCGACAACGTAAAGGCTAAGAACCAGAAGTCTCCCGTGAATGGATCACACACCATCGACAACGTAAAGGGTAAGATCAAGGAGTCTGCCTTCGGCGATGGGCCCACCACCATCGACGCCGCGAAGGCACATTTCCAGGAGTCCATCGACGCCCAGCTGGAGCGTAACAATCTGGCGCAGGAGGGCTTAACAATCGCGGCCGATATCCGAGTCATCAAATCGGACCCCGAGCTCGCCCAAAGCTGCACGACGTTTTCGGCTGCAGTATCCTCGAGCGCTTCTCCGAGGAGATCGCCGCGAACCGTGCCATCGCGGAAAGCATCCTTTTTGAGTCATCCGTATCCCCCAGCCTTCCTGAAGATGAAGGCCAACGGCGAATGGCGAGTGGCAGATGCAGCTGACCCAGCCGCTCCAGCACTTCTTCATCGCAGGTCGGGGCTTCCGAAAGATCCCTCTTTCGGTGGCCTTTTAGGTTCTGGGGCAGGCCTGCCGCCGGCGGCCAGTGGCCTGCTCTAGTATCCCCCCTCCTCTCCTTCTCCTCCTCCTCCTCCTCCTCCTCCTCCTCCTCCTCCTTCTCCCCGTACTCCACGGCATGCATCTGTTCAGCGTGTGCAGGAGAGGCGCTGGATGGGGCGATGAGAGGGGGGGAGCTTGCTCGCGCGGGCTCGCCTCCCCGAACAAGCTGTGGTGGAGGGGCCCCAGTCCCCCCCTCGAGGAGCGACAAGTGACACGCGGCAGTTCTGGTGCAAGGCGGACTGGTCGCAGCTGGTTAAGGCGCTTGAGAACCACCCAACGGATGTGCTCTTGGCGGAATGGGTGAACAAGAAGAAGAACACGTTCGGGCCAGATCGGGCGCGGGCGCGGGTGCAAAGAGCGGGCCGTCGATGCGGGCGCGCGCAGAATAACCAAAGATCGGGCGCGGGTGGACGCAGAATAGCCAATGATCGGGCGTGGGTGCAAGTTCTCCCCGCGCAAGAGCGGTCCATCGATAGTGGCGGATCTCGGGGTGGGAATCGCAAGTCAAGCGCCCATTGCGGAAACGGCTACCGCAGCAACTCGGCGACGCCATCACGGAACGCCCTTGCGAGTTCTTCGGCGCGGCCAAGAAGATGAGTCCAGAGGAGCTATTCAATGTGCTCCCATTGTCCTTCCCGATGACGCACAAGCTCGATGGCTGCGACCTCGTCGCAAGGTACCCAGTGGACCAGTGGGAGAAGTCAGGGAAGAGGGCCTTCACTGTGCAGAGCTGTTGCGAGCTAGCGCTGAAGACCGCGAAGAACGACGGAGAGAACCTCCGCGGAGTAATGAAGGTTGCCATCCGGGGGATGAAGAACGAACGCCGAGACCTTTTGCGGAGAAACTCGGCTACCCCGAGTTGGAGGAGACGACGGCGGCGAACTCGAGCGGCCGCTGGTGAGTGCACCCACTGGAGCCTGCATATTGCCAAGAGGAAGCTTTCGCGAGGTTGCTCTGAGAATTCATTTAGGCAAGGAGCGAGCTGGCCGTGCCCGCATACAGTCAGGAGGAGCATTAGCGAGGTTTCTCGAAGTGTAACACATGACAGACATATATGGGCACAACAGTGCGTCTGCACCGCCATCGCAATGTGAAGTACGCTACGGAGTAACACCAGGTCCTGCAGGTTGTGGAAGGAGAAAACAGTGAGCACCAAGAAGCCCACCAGTGCGCCCCTCACTGGCCCTACCTGTGACCGTGACATCCAGCATGCTCTACCCCACACGCTCCGAGGGGGAACCTCAGGCTACTTCACAGGGTACCAGATGCGACAATACTTGGAGCATCTCCCGGAACGGCCGAGAAGTGAGCTGAGTGGGAGAGGGAAACACGGAATTCAAACCGTAGAGGTCGAAGCCCCCCCAGCAACACTTTCTGGTGTCGGGCTTGGCGTCTTTCCCCCTTCTCCTCCTTTTGAGGTCGTGTCGTCGTCTCCTCCCCCCTTGGCTTGGGCGCCCTGGTAAGCCCGCGCGTCTCCTTCCCTAATAAGGGCACGCGGAATGGCCAGCGGCTGCTCCCCCCGCACTGACCCGATGGGACTCATTGATGTAAGGTAGCGAACCTCTCTCACGGGGGCACCTCGGAGCTCGGTCCTTGAGCTACGGGGCATGCCCCCTGCCGGCCCTAGTGAAAAAGCAGGGCTGTAGCACAACAGATCGCAGGGGATTTTGGCAATAGCGCGTAGATCGCCCGAGTAGGCGCTCTGACGCTATACTCTCTGATGCGGATGTCGTTATCTTCCTCCTCCTCCTCCCCTCGTCCTCCTCCTCCTGCCCCCCATCCTTGCCCTTCCCCATCCTCATTATCCTCCTCATCCTCATCCTCGTGCATGTGGCATTCAGCGCCGGGCATCTTACCTGTCTGGTCTGTTGCTTGATTGTCCTAGCGGCGTTCCACGCCTTTGTCCTGCTGCCTGTCGCCATCAAGGGCTGTGTCCGTACGCGCCCCGCGGCAAAGAGGTGTCGCCTTCGATGCGGTGAACGTCTTGGACGACGAGAACAACCCCGGCATTCGAGAAGCAGTCAAGGAGTTCAGGCTCCGCCATTTTCCGGGGCGGTCGGCATCTGTGTACGTCTACATTCATAAGCTGGTGCGCCCACATATTCATGCTGCCAGGGATGGCTACAGTTTTGGAAAAGGCTTCGCGCCTTCTGCCACAAAATCAAAACCACCAAACATCTAAACATTGTGGTCGTAGGAATGAAGGGCGTATCCGGCAATACGATGGCAAAACAGGTTTCTTGCAGTCCAGCGCAAACAGGATTGTTTGTCAGTGCGTGTTCTGTTTGGCCCGCGCTGTACCGAGAGAGGGGATAACAGCAACATGTACGCCGAAGAAAGGAATGTCGCCTCGGCGGTGGGTGTTTCTGTGGGAGACGGCGGGGGAACTGAAGAGGAAAAGGAGGAGGAGGAGGAGGAGGAGGAGGCAAGAGGGAGGTGGGAGAGATGGGCAAGAACCCATGATATGGCGAGACGTTGGTTATCAGATGAGCACTGGGGCTTGGCAGGCCCCACCGTGTTCTGCAGAAGACAACACCCAATCTCCAGCAACCAGGCATGCGACCGTCAATGTGGATCGGGATGCAATTCGATAGTTGCCAGCACTTCGCGTGATCTTTCTCGCTTTGCGTGTGCACATCGTCGTCCTCCTGGTGGTTTCCAGGCCATAGCTTGACCCTCCAAAAACCGTTCTGGAGGATCTGGGCAGCCCCGGAACGCTCTCGGCGAGGCGCAGCTGCTGGAGAGCGTCCCGAAGCTGGAAAGCCGCCGCGAACCGACGAAAACGCACGAGAACCCCCCCGCGAGCCGACGAAACCGACGAACACGCACGGCTCCAGCCAAGGCTCTGCCCTACTCGCTGCTCTGCTGGCCCGTCTTGTTCCTCTCCTTGCCTCTTCCTCTTCGGTCCCCGTGCCCCGTGCCTCCGTCCCGCGTTCCCCGCCGATCGGCTCGCCTCACCTTGCCACGCACGTGTTCCATTCCCTACTCACCTTCCTCTTCTCCCTCCTCCTCCTTATTCTCCTCCTCCTCCTCCTTATCCTCCTCCTCCTCCTCCTCCTCCGCCTCCCCTTCCCCGTCCTCCTCCTCCTCCTCCTCCTCCTCCTGCTCCAACCCACTGTCCTTATTACCAACTTATCCTTGTCGCACCCCAGGGCCAGATTTTACGGCGGGCCGGGCGTTTCGCCTGAGACTTTTTTACCATTCGTGACCCTGAAGCTTGAAACATGACAACAGGTTCACAGATGAAGGGCGGCCCGTTTTCAAAATGTGGCTCTCGCCTTAGCGCCACATACATTCGTTCAAAACACTTGCAAGGGTTTCACGGATTCAGAGCGGCTCCTTTTCAGAATGTGGTTCTCGCCGTAGCGCCGCGCACATTCGTGTCTAAGTTTTGCAAGGGTTTCACGGATTCCCATGATCAGTACCAGAAATGGCGTTTTGGAAGGATTCAGAATTATGATGGTGCAACAGTTACGATGATCCGTTGTGTGTTACTGCCTTGGAATGGCGTGTTGGTACGATTCAGGATCGTCAAGACGCAACATTCAGGTTTACCCTTGGCGTTGGAATCCCGAGAACCATGTTTTGGCATGTTGCAGGGTCTTCAAACGGTTGTCTTTCAATGAGGCAGTTCTCTGAGTGGAAATGAACCGTTGTAGGGGTGTTTGCAGAGGGAGTTTGGGAGGAGGCTTCAAGTATTCCAACATCGGTGATGACTCTTTGGTTTGCACCGGTCCTCCTACACCTCCTCCTCCCCCTCCCCCTCCTCCCTTCCTCCTTCTCCCCCCTCCTCCCCTTCCTCCTCCCCTTCCTCCTGCTCCTCCTGCTCCTACTCCTACCCCTGATCCTACTCCTACTCCTACTCCTCCGCCCTCTCCCTCTCCTCCTCCTCCTCCTCCTCCCCCTCCTCATCCTCATCCTCATCCTCATCCTCATCCTCATCCTCCTTCTCCTCCTCCTCCCCCTCCTCCACCTCCTCCTCCTCCTCCTCCTCCTCATCATCATCCTCCTCCTCCTCCCCCTCCTCCTCTCCCTTCTTCTCCTGCTCCCCCCTCCTCCTCCCCTCTCCTCTTCCACCTCATCCCCCTTCTCGTCCTCCTCCTCGTCCCCCTCCTCCCCCTCCGCCTCCTCCTCCTCCTCCTCCTCCTCCTCCTTCTCCTTCTCGTCCTCCTCCTCCTCCTCCTTGTCGTTCTCCTCCTCCTCCTGTCCCTCGGCGCTCCCTCGTGCGAGGGCGAGGTCACGCGTGCCACTGGTCCGCATATCTCCCGCATCCGTGTTTTAGTTGCGGCGGTAATTTACAGCGGTTGCATCTGCGACGATTATGATTCTGCCATCTCGGGTGTGAAACACGTCCACGACGTCTCAATATTGCTGACCAGCGGCAATTATCACACGAATCACTGGCTGCCTACAGTCCGTCTGATGGCCTCGTTCAATGATGGGCCGATCGTTTACGATCTCTTGGCAGCTGCTTGGTGCCCAGCGCGACCGTGTTCTCACTCGAAGCTTTGGGCCGGCTCCGCCATGGGCTGGAAGAGAGTCCATGATCCCCCGCAAGAAATATGTGTTTATGCGTGCGTGTGTGTGTGTGTGTGTGTGTGTGGGTTCGCATGTTAGTTTGTAGATTTTCGGCCAAGGTAGATGATGGCCTCCGCTGGAGTCGTTCTGGGTGTGGGAAGCACGCTCGCTGTTTCGCGACAACGGGTAGAGAGGGAGGCAGTGATTCCTTATGGTGCGAAAGAGGGCTCGATCTTTCTGACGTTTCGTCCTGCCCTCCGTCCCGCACGCGCCCGCACAGCAATTGGCCGACGATCCCCCAGCTCTTCGTGCGGGGCGAGCTCATTGGAGGGGTGCGCCCGCCATCGAAGTGAACAATCGATCCGCCCTTTCCACCCTCCCAGCCTTCCCCGCCAACTTCAACACCCCAACCTCCCCATCTTCTAGTCGTCGTCCCTCATCCATTCTCCTTCTAGTCCGCCTCCATGCTGCCCCTTCTCTTCCTCATCTTGCTGCTTCTGCTTCTGATCCAGCTCCTGCTCGTGTTGCCGCTGTTCCTTGTCGTACTCACCCCAGCGAAGAAAGGGGGAAAGGGCCAGCGGAGAGACGGAACGCATCGCCACGATTCATGTTGGGTCGAGACTTCCCATCGGCTGGCAATGTTCGGAGACGTGGGCTCAAATCGAGCTGGAGCGGGGCTCGAGTTCTGTTGGGACCAGGCCTCTGGCTAGGGCGCTTCGTGATTTACTCTCTCTTTCTCCTCGTACTGTTCCTTCCCACCCTTCTCCTGCTCGCTCGTCCTCCTCCTTTCTCAGCTCCTTCCCATGGTGCCCCCCCCCCTTCGCCTTCACTTCCCGCACACTGTTTCCCCCCTTCTCTCCATCACCCGCCCATGTCTGCCCCTGCTACCTTTCCCGCCCCTCCTCCGGTACCCATTGTCCCCATAAGTCGCCCCCTCGTCGTCTACGTCTTCTTCGTATTCGGTTCCCCTTCCTCTAGCTCATTCTCGGCATCTTCCTCCTCGCCTTCATCCTTTTGGGCGTCCCGGAGGCTTTGGGTTGTCTTGAGGTGTTGCTTACGGGGCCAGGAAAGCGTGAGGGCAAACCAAGTGCACAACCATATCCGCGTGTGAGGACATCCTTCAGGAGGAAGTGGAGGAAGAGGACGAGGCGGACGATACTAACACGAGACTCGTCCTGTAGTCTGCCCCCCGAGTGTGCAGGGCACTCCGAGGGGAGTCCAGACTGTAGCGGCCGCACTGCGCCTTCTCCAGAGCGCTGGCTGGCTTCTGTCTTACACGCTTGGTGCGGAAGAAAACAACTTTCAAACGTACCTCGCCGGCCTCATCCCCGATATTGTTTAATGTTGTTTCCGGCATGTGGCAGTATCCACGTGTTGTCGCCAGTTGTGAAAGCATTCTGTCCGCTCCCAACGTCTCCCTGCCTCCCAACCAAAAAGACGAGACTCGTCCTGTGCTGTTCTCCTCCTCCCCTCTTTCCTCCTCACCTCTTCCTCGCCCCTGTTCCCGTATGCCTTGGCCTGATCCTTCTCTTCCTCCTTTATCCCGTTGTTCCAGGATTCGCCACAGGCCTTCTTGTTGCGCACAACTCTCCCCTGAGAGCAGGGGGGCTCAGTTGGTCACTCGGAAAGCACATCGCTGCCGTACCCGCTGAGAGGCATGGCGGTACTGAGCGCCTCGCTCGCGCCTGTCTCTGGATAGACCGATAAAGGTCATGATAATCGATGTCCTGCTGCTGCTCCTCGCCAGGTTCCTTCTCGAAGGTGGACAGACCTCCTACCCTGACACGTCGATTAAGGAACTGGCCGTTTTCGGTTCGCGAGCGGGCGTCGCGGCCGTCACTTTTTGCGGGTCCAGGTCCGTCGATTTCGGCCCTAGGTCGTTTTCACTAAGGGGAGGTAGGTTTGCTAAAGGGAGGTTTGTCCACCGCCGACCTTCGGCGCCTTCCCTCTGATCTTTTTCTTCGCCCTCCCCGCGTGCGAGACGTCCGCAGGCAGACATCATCGCCGAGATGCACACGTCTGGGCAGCTGGTCGAGACACTCAAGAGCGCCACGGTCGGGAGTATCCGTTACAGCACGCAGTGGCAGGAGGCGGTGGAGGAGGAGGAGGGGAAGGGAAACAGCAGAGGGAGCTCGAGACGGAGAAAGAGGAATAGGAGGAGAAGGACGAGGAGGAGGAGGAGGAGGACAGGGAGCAGGAGGTGGACTGCTAGAGCACTAGATAGAGTCGGTAGTTCAAGGGAACAGCAACACGGATTATGATGAGAGGATCAGTGATGGGTCACACGAAGCATGGTTCACAGAACTCGGATGGTCAGGGTACGCAGGAGCCGTCTTGATGGGTCGTCTCAAGCGTTGGCCCGAACATTCGGGCGCCGGGCTTCAGATTTGAAGATTCGTAATCCATGTTCGTGTGTGCGTGCGTGTGTTTGCAGGTCGGGGGAGGTAAGAGGAGGAGGAGGAGGAGGGGGGCGAGGAGGAACATATGCTCGTTACCCGTGAGGAAGCGGAGTTTCTGCTACTCGCGGGGATGTTGGGCCTCATCGGATCTCTCACATTGGCGTTGGCCTGCCACAGCGGTCGCTGGCAAGCACAAGCGCGAGGTCAGCTTGTGCAGCCGTTGAGCACGTACTCCCATGAGTATTCGGCACAGCGTGAACAGAAGCTTTCGGAGATCCGCGTGGATTTCTTGTTTTGGTGCTGGACCCCATTCCCCGACGCCCCGAGCGCGCCGCCAGGAGGGCCCAGCACCGACTTGAGAAATTATCGCGGTAAAAGTTTCTGTTTGTGCCGTTGGTTGTTCCTTGAAGGTAGGAGGAGCAGGAGGAGCAGGAGGAGGAGGAGCAGGAGGAGGAGGAGGAGGAGGAGGAGGAGGAGGTAAACGCTAAAGCTTCCACTTCTGAAGTCCGGCTGACGTCAGACAGGAGGAGGGGGAGGAGGGCACCAGAGAGGTGGAGGGGCCCAGCCTGGATGGGCGAGGGTCGATCGCCATATCCTTGTCCTGCTTCGCGGCCCGCACATCCGCCACCCCCCGCTGGGTCGAGGGGGACGGGGGGCGTGGGGGGCTCGTTCTTCTCCTTGGCGGCCACGCCAGGGGGGACATGCTCGGGGGGGGGATGCATCGACCCCGAATCTCGACGAGCGAACAACGACATTAACATACACTTTCGGAGGTCCGCGTGGATTTCTTGCACCTGCGCTGGAGCGCCCCGACGGCGCCTCTGGCGCCGCCCCTGGCGCGTTCCGCGCGCCAGGGAGGGGGGCTCAGCGCAGATGCAAGAAATCCGCGCGGACCTCCACACGTTTCTGCTGATGCCGGTTTCTGTTCTGCCAGAATCGCCCTTTGATCGCCGATGTGAACTCGATTATCCACCCCCCAGAGCCGTGCGGTTTCGCTACAGCGGGCTTCTCGCCGATCTCTCGGCGACGTATCGCCGAGCGCAGGTCGAGGTTTCTCCCCCCTAACGTTTCCCCTCAGATGGGGGGGTTCTCATCCCTCTCCATCCTCCCCTGCAGGCTGACACGAGGGCTTGGAGCAACCGCAGCTTTGGAGGGCTGCCGGCCTGAGCTTCGTGCTTGCGTTCTCCGCCTTGGATTGCTTTTCGTTCTCCTGGACGCGCCGCCTGCCCCCTCCCCCTTTCAGAGCCCCGAATCATCAGGGGTAACTCGGGTCAGGGATAGCTCGGGTTCGTTTTTCGGGAATCCAAACCCGAGTTACCCCGGACCCGAGTTACCCCGGATAACTCGGGCGTCCAGGGCCCCGAATCATCAGGGGTAACTCGGGTCAGGGCTAGCTCGGGTTCGTTTTTCGGGAATCCAAACCCGAGTTACCCCGGACCCGAGTTACCCCGGATAACTCGGGCGCCCAACTTCCCCCCTCCCCATCCTCCGCTTCTTCCTCCCTCCCCTCCCCACAGTGGGCCCGACAGGTCGAGGGCGCCGCGGGCGACAAGCAGGCCCGCCGCGCCCCGCCAGCCCGGGATGAGCCATGCTCCCTGGGCGCCCGTTCTTCGGGGGGAGGAGGAGGAAGAGGAGAGAGGGGGAGAAGAGGAGGAGAGGAGGAGGAGAGGAGGCGGAGGAAGAGGAGGCGGAGGAAGAGGAGGCGGAGGAAGAGGAGGAGGAGGAGGAGGAGGAGGAGGAGGAGGAGGAAGAGGAGGAGGAGGAGGGGGAGGCGCGGAGGAGAGAGGGAGGGAGGGAGCGAGGCAGAGGGGGAGGGGGGGGGAAGGCAGGAGGGGGAGATGAGGGGGGGCGAAGGAGAGGAGGGGGGGGGGGGCGGGAGATGGGAGGGGAGGAGGAGGCCAGGAGCAACGTCAGGCGGTGATCTTCTAATGTGGGGTGGGGCTCGTCGCCCCCCAATTGTCAATTTATCTCCGACCGGGGCCGGATAAACCGCGAGCGCGCGGACTCGGCAATCGCGTGCCTATGGCCGATCTATCGTCGATGCATCGCCGATTGCAGATCTATTATACTTCTCCCCCCGAACCGGCTCCCCTTGCGATGAGGCAGGGAGTGAGAGACTGAGGAAGAGGAAGGATCGAGGTATAAGGCGCTTTTGGTTTTCCCAGAAGGTGCGGCAACCTCTGAAGGCCTCGAGGGGACGGAGGAGGAAGACAGTAATCCCACCGAGGCGTCTTTGGTTTTCCCTTGGGCCTCCAGAAACCTCTGGAGGCCTCGATTGGAAGGAGGATTAAGGCGTTTCGCGCTCGGGCTGTTGGGGCGGCCCGGTTTCGCGAGACCCCTGACGCCGCCTGCCCTGCCCAGAGCGGCGGTGCAACCCAGACGATCGATAGGCGCCATAGTTAGCCGCTCGCGCTTGCCCGCGTGGCACCGCAGGCTGCGGAGGCTGAGGGCCAGTGCGCGGGCGACCCTGCGCCTGGGCGCCACACGCCAGGCGCTGGCTGGGCACCGCGGCGAGCACTACGGCGAGCTGCCCGTTACGCCGCCCATGCCGCCACGTGCTGGTGTTGGTGGGGCTGCCGCAGGTGTTCCTGAGGGCAGGTGCTGCTGGGGCCCAAGGAACCGCATTGCGGTGCGCTTGTGCGGCCGCGATGCCCCTGGACATGTGGTGCGCAAGACGAGGCAGGCGCACCAGGAGGCCATGGCAAGGCGGGATTCCTCCGCCAGGGCTAAGTCGCAGTCCCGCCCACCTGCTCAGCGCGGAGGCGGCGGAGCAGATGGCCCTCGGCGTCAGCGGTTTGAGGCGGGCATGGCTAACATCGCGGCGGCGCTGCAGAAGCTGTCAACTGGTGGTGGCAGCAGTGGAAGCACACGCGGCGGTCGCGGGAACCTCGCCATCGAGCCAGGCTCCTCCAAGGCTGCCGAGGGGCCCTGCTGTCCAGGAGCTCGACAGCAAGATCGCCAGCCTCGAGCAGACGATTCCCACGCTGCGCAAGGGTGGCATCGACGTGGCCCAGCTCGAGGCAGACATGTCCAAGCTCAAGCAGCAGCGTGTCGCAGCGCGAGGACCACAGACCGAGGTCAGCTTCCTGGGCGTGAGGCTCGGCCACGCCAGGACGAAACGTGTCCAGCTGCTGGCAGAACTCACAGAAAGATGTGCCCGAGGCCCAGAAGCTGGTCGAGGAGGCGGAGGAGCTGCGCTGGATCACGAGCCAGTCATCACCCAGGGCACCACCACCATCGCGGAGCTGGAGGCAAGCCTCAATGCTACGAGCCATGCCGTTGGCCGCCCCAGCGCAGTCGGCCGAGACAGCGCGATGCCCAGCGTTTTTCTGGCCACGGTGCCTGAGGCTGCCAACATAGGTCCTGGAAAGGTGGGGAATGGTCGCAAAGCTCCAACCCCGCGGCTCCAGCTTCTTGTTCCAAAACCCTCCGAGCTCCCTCATGGAGCTATTCGGTTTTCAAGCAGCCCGCGCCGGGGAGTTTGGACCACCGCCGATAGATCTCCGGGGCGACACTGCAGCCCCGGCTTCTTATTTTATCTGCTGAAGCCTTCTTAACTCTCTGCGAGTCATGTGGGAACTTCTCCGCGAAAGGCTGTCGAGGCGGCTTGGAAGGGTGCTTCGAGGGCTTGCAGGAATTGGATGGAGAGGAAGTGGAAAGGAGCGGCCAAGGAGCTGCGCAAGAGCTGCGGGGAAGCATCACGGAGAGGCTTGAGGCACGCGCGTTGGGAACGAGTAGGAACACGCTACCTGGCACACGCTGTAACATCAAGCAAGTCGCTGCGGGGCCCAGGAGCCTTGGCGAGGGGCTGGCGTAGCCCTGCTGGCCGGCTTCTTATATACAACCCTTGTAGCTCTCCAAGGAGCTATCCGGGAAATTGTGCAGTCCAGTTGTGTAGTCCAAAGCCCGGATAGCAGGGCGCCCAGAAGGCGCGGACAGGCCCGGCGACGCACTGGCGAGAGAGCCAGAAAGTATGTTTGGGGAGCTGGCAGGCTTGGAGAAGCTTGTGGGAAACGCTTGCCAGGGCTCTTGAATCCATGCCTGGGGATCTTTCAAGCCCCAGAAGCAAGCTCCCAAAGAGCTTCGAAAGACCTCATGGAAAGCTTCGAGGCGCGCGCATTGGGGGCGAGTAGAAAACGCCCCTCGGGACACGCCGCGGGTTCAAGCAGAGCATTTCACGTTGACCGCGGCCACCCAGAAGGACCGTTCGGAGGCTGGGGGGGGGTCGACCAGGCGCCGAGCGTCGCAGACTCGGACCTCGGCGACGGCGACTTCGATGAGATGGTTACGGGCAGCAAGCTGGGGGGCGGCCAGCGAGCGCCCGAGGGCTTGTGCCAGCGCGCGGACATGCGTAAGAGGCAGCGGCTTAAGCGGGATATGCTGGACGCCGCCGAGGAGCATTATGGATGCAGCTCGTCTGGAGACGCGAAGCAGCAGCATGTCCACTTCAGTTTTACGACAGCCAACTGAAACCCCATGAGGCACTGGGCGGGGCATCCCACCCCCCGTCCAGGGCCGGGTCCTCTTCGTGCAAGAACACCGGCAGTCTCGAGGGTGACTCTTTGAGATTCGGCGCATCCTGAGGAGCGGGGGCTGGGCCGTTGCCTTCACCCTTGCCATCGTCCAGAAGAAGGACTTCCAGGGCGGCGCGGCCGCGCCG